CACGAGTTATAATAAATCGAAAGACACAAACACTTGTACGTGTAGTTCCTTTGTTATATATCATGACATCCTCAATTTGCAAATATTTTTTTTTTAAACTATGATCATTTTTTCAACCCTATTTTCGAATTTAAATGTTACGTACATTATGTCTGTATGAAAACCATTAAACAAACATTTGTAAACATCTTGTTAATTAAATTATTTAATTTCGCCAAGGTGACGAGTGAAATGAGCATAAAGAGCGATTCATCTCAAGAGTTATCGCCCGCCTTTGAACACGTGACCTTTATTTTGGAAATCTCCATTCCCCTTAAACAAGCAGAAACTATAAATCTGACTATCATAACCAAAGAGATCTCAGAAGAAAGCAATACTCCTTTCCTGATTGAAAACATAGTTTTTACACGTGTGGACAAGAATCTCCTCTGTTTCCGAGTTGATAACTATTCCGATATTGCTTCTAATGATCAATCGCCTGCTTGGGGGCGCTGCATATTTATCTGTTGCTTATATGAATGGCGATAAAGTATCAACAGTAAAAATACAATTTGACGTAAGACTCAGTCATGATGGAGTGCAATTTGATGATTCTTATGTGGTTGCAATACTGACAGGAAATAAAACAACTAAGACAAGTGTAAACCTCAATAGACCGGAGATTTTAAATGACCAGAACAAGACTACATTATCCAGACTTCGTCAAATATTGGATAGCAATGATACGTGTCCTAGGTTACCTCTGAAAGGTGAAAGGCCACCGCTGCTCCTAATGAGGATTTTAACGTCTTAGCTAAATATTGAGAGAAAAGAGTTTGATGTTATAATAAAGGGCATTGGGATAAGTTGTGACTCCCATGGAAAGCAAAGTTTACTGGTAAATACGTTTTATTTTATACTGTGGTTGTTTTCTAATTATTCAAATACGATGTTGATTAAGACATCAAATTATCGAATACATTCAATATGTATTTTTTGTAGGTGTCTTTTCCGACAAATGATATAACGGGAAGTTTTCGGAGATTTTTCAAAATCTGCCATTTGATTAACAAAGGGAAAAGTGTGGAAGAAAATGTAACACAATGTACATACAGATGTGACTGTAAAAGTGACGTTGAATGTGGAGAGCTTATTTTATTTATATCAAACGACGAGGAACAGTCGGATAATTGGAGATTATGTCATTTAAGTGCAAAAAATCTTTAAAAATCCGTTCATCCTTGGACATACATGTATTAGGACAAAAGTGAGGTTAGCCTATATACAGATTTTTTTTCTTTGAAAAAACAATTGAAGTTTATTAAGACAATATGTTTAGTTATTTATTTTTATATCCACAAATTTTCCTGATAATGAGACAAGACAATTCTGGCCATTCAAAGCTTGGTTTTGCTTAACCTCTCATATATATTATCAAAAACACAATTGAGTGAAACTGTCATTTATTCAAATAACAAATGACTAAAACTAAAATCTACAATACATGTTACAAAAAAGTTAGACAGTTAATCACAAACTGACTAGTAAAACGTCAATATTTGTCATAGTCACATTACATAATTTTTCCTAATCACATGACACAAAAACAGCCCAGCCAATAATATAATGGTAAATAAATTTTGTGATATAGTGATAATTACTTTTTTATTTATTATGTCGCTCCCAACGAAGCCGGGCGACATATTGCGATTGTACAAATGTTTTTGTTCTACGGGCTGTTTCTCGGAGATGGCTGGGACAATCTTCCTGAAACTTTCCTCAAAGGACGATCACTGGTTGTAGTTATGTTGTGTGGTCATTCAGTTTTAAAATGGCTACCGTTGCCATGGAAACCTGCAAAAAAGCGACTAATTTTGTCCAAGAGTGTTCTCTCTGGTGCCTTGGACATTCGTCATGAAACTTTATTGATTAAATGATTAGTATTTGTAATTGTGCGTGTTGACTTTAAAAATTGCTAATTATCAATAGTTGCCATGGAAACAGGGGAAAAGTGAAAATTCTTTAACTCTGATTTTTTTTTAAATCAAAGTACTGAAAGTACTGATACGAGTTAATGGTTGTCCAAGCTTAGCTAATGGGTGTTTTAGTGATGAAAAAATGAAAGTCTCGTCCAGTTCGGGGCGACATACGCTATTGCTTGCAATAGCAAACTTTCTAGATTCTCTTTGTTTTTGTTTTTTCTCTTTTGGTCACTGCATCTATTTTCAGTTTTTAAAAACTTCCGTCTCATTCTAAAGAATTCAAGATCATTTTTTAACACTCTCTTCTTTTTCTCATTTTTCAAACAAGTATAAATATATATTGTTTTATTATTTGATATTTTAATTTAATGTATTGTTAAATATTTTCGACTTCTTTCTTTGATAACAAGTCTACATAATTTATGATTTTGAACGAAATGTTTCGCTAATTGTTGAACTCGAATGCTACATAGAAATTAGTGTCTGTAATAAAAAAAAATAGCTGTAAGTTTCTATTTTTTATCTAGCCTTGTTTATAATAGAAAATATGATTTAGTGGGATTGTTTTAATATTTGCAAAGGCACAATGTTTTTTCTAATACAAATATATGATTTAGTTTTGTTGATAAAAGTTTTTATATCATTTTGACTACTGTAAAACGAGAATATTTGGCACACTAATTTTAGCGCCTATGCATGCATTGTTTTAATATGAATAAAATGCGTTAATACTCAATTCTTTTATTTAAAAAATCTAAAATAAAATTTAATATTGTGCCACATTCATGTGATTGCAATACTACGATAAAGTTGACGAATGTTTACTTATATACGGAGTGCTATTGTGTTTCCGAGCTTGACTAACCAAATAGTCAAATACGGGTGTGGATAAAAAAAATATCACATTCATATATTCTAACAGGTCCTTGATTTAATTATAAGTACATGCGCTAAAATTTATTTGCACCAATGCATTCCCATTTGAGTTTGCGCTAAAATACGTATGCGCCAAATTGTCTCTTTTTACAGTGTTTATTTGAGTCCCAGTGCTACATTTTACGACTTTCGTCTTAAGAAATTTAAATTAATTGTATAAAATAAGTTATGTTATTGTTCTGAGCCATGTAAAGAGATAATTTTGATATCTTGAAATTGGTTACGTTTGTACATGTATCACTGTGGCCAATTATGACTGGCCTTTACAGACGCCATATTTTAAGCATATTGTTTGATATTTTCATTCAAAAGTCAATTATGAGTGTTATATATAATGCATCTTTACAGTGTATAAATATATGATGCATCTTTACAATGTAAATGTATATTTTCTGTCATAATGATAATTATTATCACCGATAACAAATCATCGATTATAAGTGTTGTTGATTATTAAAAATAAATTAATAGAAAAAAAAGTTTATAATGTTTTTATTTCTCTTAAATGATTAAATCAAACTCATTTTGTTTTATTTTTTATAAGTATTTGTGATCAAACTCTTTACAATCTTTAGCAAGGTCTAAAAATGTAAAAGAAAGGCTCTAACTACTTTATCTTTTATTTAATAAATATGCAAAGTTTGCGGTCACATTGTAGGAATACTAGCATATATAAAACATTTCGTGCAAATGCAAAAAAATGAAGTGTGTAAAGCAAGATGCAAAGCAAAATATTTTATTAATTTGGGCCTCAGGAGTGACAAAAAAGATGTACATGTATACACCTGAATCAAAAGAAGTAGGAGGACCTGAATAATAAAACAAACTTAATCTGATATATGATGCAAGCAGTGCTCTCTTTGATAAATACATCCACAGGAAATAAACTGAATATGCAAATCATACAAGTATACATGCATGTTATAACAATACATGCATATATTCAAGTAACTAGAACGCCATACATATAAACCTCAAATACATTTCTTTAAGAATTTTCAGCTAAGATAGAAAACAGCTGTATCAAGGTATCTAGCTAATGATCTTGGAATATCATGGTCTTCATTAGTCATGAGCTAATGCAATTGAATATCATAAAATCTTATAGTTAACTTTTTTACATTTATCATTTCCAATAATCATAAGTTCAAAGAATTTCACTATGTAACTCCTTGGGATCATAAGATGAATATATTCGTTCTTATTCGGGTATTTTTTATATGGTCAATTTTACTATCTTTAGAATATCTAAGTATGGTTCAAAACAAAAGTAAGTCTTTAGGCAGGTGAAGCAGAACCTTTACCATCTTTATGTAAATTCCTCTCTTTTTTCGTTTAATTTTATGGAAGTTAAGTAGTATCCTATTCAAGGTTTCATTTTAAATGGGGGAGCGACATAACTAAAGCATCACTTGGTATGATTAAGTACGAAATTTGTACATGATACCAGTAACGAGTATAAGCAGACATTGATAATTTGCTTCAGTGGTTGTTTTCAGAGAAATCGGGTCCTTTTGAGTGCTTCGCTCCTAGGTCACAAAGTAGGGAATATATCCTCGAGTTGTTATCCATATTCAACTGTGACACATGAGAAAGTGTAAAGGAGATTGATGCGTAATAATGTTGTCATAATGTGATAATGCAACACAATATTTACGATATGAACTAATTCTTTTATCCGATGAAATAACCAATACAATCAGAATTTATACCTATTCTTTTTATTTCCTTAATTATTTGTGATAAGTCATTAATGGTCAATTAAACGTGAAATAGCGTCCAGTAGTTGTCATAATACAATTTGGGATTAACGATAAGGACTAATTCCATTAAACAATAAAATTAACCGTTATTATCAGACTATAATATCCAAAGTTGAGATCGGATTTTTAAGGGTAACATATTTAATTAAAAAGTAAAACTTAATGGTTATTTCGAAAATTATCTCGTCTCCATCAGAATGAAACATTCTCGAGAAGGACCTAAACAAACTACAAACAAACAAACAAAATTATCTAACAATGGACTTGTTTAAAATCATTCTATTTGGTTTTAGGTTTTGTATTAAAATATCACTATGAGGTCCGTTAGGCCTGTACAAATTTGCTAAGTTATGGTTTTAAATTGTATAATTTGCAATAAAATATCTTTATGATATAAGAAACAGTTTGATACACATCGGGTAAAACAATCACTGCCACAATAACTCCAATAACTATCGCCCCTACACTGCCAATCGCGCAAGATAGCAATCGGAAGTCTGGTGCACTGGTCAGTTTCCTTAATCTAGAGGAGAGGATCTTAGAATTAACGGTTAAATCGCTCTTTCTTTGTTTTAGTTTCTCCTGAAGTGACAGTGTCGTATCCATACAAACACAAGTGCATTGTACGGACCCATTGGTTATTATTCTGTTTTCTGATGTTGCATGTTGTATTGTTGTTTTTTGTTGTAATGATTTTTCTGTCGTGTGACTTTGTTCAGTTGTTTTAATTACTGGCTGAACAGATATTCCTGTTGTTTGTTGTCTCGAACTTTCTAATGTTTGTTGTTGTTGAAATATTTCTGTTGTTTGTGGCCTAAATTTTCCGGTTGTTTGTTGTTGACCAAGAACATCTGTTGTTTGTGGATCAGTTGTTCCAGTTGTTTGCTGTTGTTTAAATATTTCTGTTGTTTGTGGATCAGTTGTTCCAGTTGTTTGCTGTTGTTTAAATATTTCTGTTGTTTGTGGATCAGTTGTTCCAGTTGTTTGCTGTTGTTTAAATATTTCTGTTGTTTGTGGCTCAGTTGTTCCAGTTGTTTGCTGTTGTTTAAATATTTCTGTTGTTTGTTGTGGCCATGAGGTCGGTCGAGAATTAGATTCTATAAACAGATATGCTTATCACATATTACTGAATTTTTATGGCTTTAAACCTAATTTGTATTAAACCTAACGAAAAGTTTGTAAATTTTCTGTGATCAATGTAAAATTAAGCAATGTAATAGTAAAATAATCATACCAAATAAGCAAACTTTCTGGGTAAAAGAACTAGATAGTTGAGACGGAACCCATACAGGAACACCCACGTCGGACAATACACAGCGGATAGTATCCAAATCGTAACCAAATCCACAAATTGTTATGTCATATATCAATGTTGTTATATATTACTCTCTATTTAGAGAAAGATGATTTATAAATTCCTTTATTGAATATTTGCTTTTTAAAAGGGGTGGTGGTTTAAAACTTTTTATACATAGGACTGAACATCTCATACTATGAAGAATCGAATGCTAGACTGAATAGCCAGATTGAAATGTGCAGTGAAGGTTTTTTCAACATTTTTTCATTATTGCTAATATTTTCTTGTATCTACAACCCAAGGGATATTTTGGACACATTTATCAAAACAAAGTATAATTATCATACGAAGAATAAAAAGGTTATAAAAATATTATTCCTTTCATTCTATTCCTTTTAAGATTTTGAAAAAGAGAGTTCCTTGTCTAGAAAGGAAAGGAATTTGATTCACTTCTAGATAGGGCATTTCCTTTTTTCAAGAGAAAAAAGTTGGGGATGAAAGTAGATTAAAAACTTTGTTTCTTTCTTAATGAACAGATCCATTATTATGCCTGTCTTTCTAAGCTACCGTTAAAATTTCCTCTTTTTTTGTTTTGTGCGTTCGTTATAGATGGAGGGAATCGTTTTTCTGTGTCCTCTCAGGAAACTGACAGTACCTGTTGAAAATGGGGGGTTAACAACATTTGAACTTAGATATCTGCTCTTGTCCGTGCAGATTCCAAAACAAAGCAACATATTGCAAGACTGATACGTTGTAATTGTGGTACTGAGTTGTGTGTAGGATTGTTAGTAATCCTACATTATAGGGTCATTTGTTATGGTCTATTTTGGCTGTATTTGTTTGTAATGTGTTCGCTCAGCTAGTGAGGGTCCAACTCTTAACAACTTGTAATCAACCTCTGTATGCTGGTCTCAAAAGAAAACAAGTTGTAAGCTATTACAGATTTATTACTGGCGAAACCGCAACTCATATATCAATAACAAAAGAATTTTACAGCATCCTAAAAAGAAAAAAAAATTAATAACACTTCATTCTTTTCCACATATTAGAATCTAGTTGCGTTTACTTTTAAACAGTATATAAATATGAATATTATTAACATAAAGATGATTGAGTTTACATGTACGTACCTTAAAAGAAAACAAGTTGTAAACTATTACAGATTTATTATGGAGAAACCGCAACTGAGGTTGCCGAGGCGGCGTATGGCGATTATATACTCCAGAACCGGTTTCCATGACAATTCTACAACTGTTAACTTTTTGTACCCATGTGACATGACCGCATGTGGTCAACACGTGATGAGTGTCTTTTAACACTAATTTATAGTTTTACTTTTGCCAAATTTAGAATTCCGTATTTCAGAATCAATTTAGGATGTGTTCAAAGTCATTAACTTTGACCTGAAATCAACATTGTTACATCTAGAAAACACTGACCACTTGCAGAAATTATTTGATCTATTGATAGTGCTTAACTTTATTGCTCAATCGCCTGGTCCAATATACAATTCTAAATAACATTTACGGAATAATATCTTTACACTTGTTAGTAATAAATGCTAAATAATTTCAAATACGACCTTGCACTGGATATATGAATAACACATTGAAAATCAATAGATATTGAATTTGTACACAACTTACATAAAAAATGGAAAAATAACACAAAAATTCATATTATATTGAACTTATATTGGTGAATATTGGCACAAGTTGGCTGTATAAATGCACGAGCTTGCGAGTGCATTTGTACAGCCAACGAGTGCCAGTATTGACCAATATAAGTTCAATAGCTCCTTTATTACATAGTTAAAACATTTCCTCATAATTTATAATAATTATTCCAGCTACAAAAAACTCAAATTAATGATTATTTTAGCATCGGAGTTCACATTAACGCCTGTCCTGTAAGTGTTCAATATTCCGATGACCCTACCGAGCGTTATGATTTTGCTAATCCACGTTTTAATGGGTCTAATACGTACTAAATTTTTAGCAAATAATTTATTTTTGAGTAAATAATAAACACATCTTACCTAGATGCCACTTCTTTTCTTTAATTTAACTCTGAGAATTTGTTTACAACGGGGCGTTCGATATTGAACGCTCGTATTCTGAATGTTTCATAATACAAACTAGTGTTCCAATAAAACGTCAAGATATTGAACGCAAAAATTCTCTAGATTTTTAGTAGTATTTTATTAGAGACTATTTATTAGCTATATAATAATGTACATTTCTAATCATACCTTGTCGGTGAAGATATCTTTAGCTAATATTGTCCATATTGGACAGAGTGGTTTAGGTGAAAGTGTTAACATTTTCACGTACATTCTTCACTGAAGCTTAATGATTTGCCTAAAAATAATGTTTTGTTTCATCTTCAAACTATCAAATCTAAAGTAAAATTACCTCTTTGAATGTTTTATGAATAGTGATTTAGGCACCTCTAGTTTTGATTTTGTTTAAATTCCTAAGATTCATACTAAACTCCTGCATGTCCTTCAAACAGGTTGAAGGAAACGTAAATTCCGCTATGACAATGATTTAACACTATATCAATACGTATATTTTGTAACATTTTTTCAGCCGTACTTATCCTCGAATTTATCAAATAGCAGGCTTGTTGTTTAAAGCACAAGTAACAATGGGCATATAAAATGGACCAGAAATGGCAATCTTACATATTATGAAACTCGATCATTCTGTTTTCAGCCGATGCGTTCAATAATACGAACACAGTTTTTAAACACCAGTTTTTTTATTATATATTTATTCTTAAAAATTATTTGTACTCTCATATATTTTATAATAGATCGGAAAGCTCCTGTCATATGAGAAGCCAAACAAGACACTGAGTATTAAAACAACAGCGCAGTTGGAATATATTTCGGTAGAGAAAGACTTGAAGATAATCATGCTAACCAAAGTCGAACACTATTCAACTGTCTGGGGACTCTTTTTATAGCAAAATTATTTAATAGATTTTCTATGAAGAAGCCATGACAAGAATAGTCTTAAATCTGTAAGGCTTTTTGGTATTTTCCGTTTAACATTGAAAAGTTATTGTGAAAAGAATCATGCATAGATTGATTAATTGTATATTGTTTAATGTCCCTCTGAAATTTCACTCATATGGAGATGCCACCACTTGCCGTTGGAGAGCTGCAAATTTTGTCCTATACTAATCTCAGGGCCATTCTCAGTGAGGGATCTTTGGTGCCAGCACCTCCTGCGACACGGGACCTCGGTTTATACGGTCTCATCCAAAGGACATGATCCACGTCCCACAGCTGGATTCCAATCCGCGACGGAGCAGTTACTTCTTACTTCGTGACTCTAGAGTAAACGCTCTAACCAATGCACAACGCGGGCGACATCATGCATAGGAAGAACTTTATTCGGTAATAACCTATATTTGCCCCCCACATCAGACTTTGATGGAGATATATCTAATTTAGTTCTTAAACAGGGGAGTATATGCTGACTTCAAAGCACTGAATATTTTCATGAGTAATGACGCCATATGTACGTAATGACGTCACAAACATGACGTAAATTTCAGCTTTTTATGAATTTTACAGAAAAATGTACATATTTCGTCGATATTTTGAGTAAAAGTCACCGAGCGCATGCGTGTTCAGGATCAATATTTTGATATAATATGTAGAATGATAATATCAATGAAATATGTCAATATTGTTCCTGAACAAACTTGCGCTCAATAAATTCTAAAGTGTTCTAAATTGTTGAAATTTTGTCCATTTTGTCCTCTTTTTGAAAAAAGGATAAAAAATCGGACTAGTTTGTGACGTTATAAAAACAAAAATTGTGAATACACTGCTTTGACACACTACAATATTTTCTGTTAATCTATATTTCTCATACAATTTATTGAATTCAGCACATTTCAGGAAGTTTTCAAAATTTGATTTTTGTGGGGCAAATATATGCAATATACCGCATATAGTTCTTTAAAAGGAAGTGAATAATGAAAGCCGCTTAACCCGAAACAGGCACATATTACACAATAAAAGTACGTCGTTACATAGCTATAAAAATAAATTATAAGATTGATTTAATAGTTTATTACAACAATCCTTACATGAAAAACGCAGATCAAAAACCTTATTGACAAACAGTAGTTCCTGACGGAAGTTAAGATCTGTTGTGAAGTCAATTTTGAAAAAAATAAGTTTATCGGATATATCTAATAATGAAGATAATTCAAACCCGAGTATTTTTTTCTCTATTAGTAGAAGCCTTAGTCATAATACATCTTTTCAAAATTAAGAAATTAATTGAATATAATCCATAGTAACTTTTATATTAATATGCATATTTAAAGAATAAGGAAAAATCAGATATTTTAAATGATTTTTTAAAGGAGCTAAAATATTGTCTGTGTACAGGTAGATATGTACTTTGTTGTGATAAAAAATGCTCGGGTTTGTTCTTCATGAGATAAACATGTAGGCGATAAATTTAATTTTTCGAAGGTGATTTCACGCGATATCAACAATGATCAACATAGGATTATTTTTTGTGCTACTAAAAAAAATTATTTTTTTAACTTTTGAATTTTGATATCTTTTAAAAGAAAAAGACTTTGGGGATATAATTTGACAAAAGTTGAAACAATTTATGGACACTTTTTCAAGAAGAAAAACGAATATATATTTTTATCGTTTATCATAAATTGAAAGCCATAGTGGATTGCAGTGGACATAGCCAATTCGCTTGAAATTTTGCCATTTATAGTCCCTACCACATTTTGATGTTCAGCATTGGACATTGTCAGGAACATAGCCAGGGGTGGAAAATGAGGGTCTATATTTGGATGTATGCGGCACACGTCTATTTAGATCATATATTAAATCTTTGAGTCTTTTATTTACTGTTGATTTCATCCTAAGATATAAACTTTCAAAAATATTTTTTTTAAATCTAATCAAAGTGTTGAAAAGTAGCATTTTTTATTTTTGTTAGTAAAAACTCATTTTTCGATACATAATCTTTTAGACAACAGTAAAGTACTGCTGCAAAACTCTTAAGGAAGTAATTT